ACGCCACTCCACTAATGGATCCTGCCCTGGCAGCATCCATTGCCATGTACTCCCTCAACAAATATCTCTGGAGTGCCAGGCACTGTTCTAGGCACTGGGGACATAGCAGTGAATAAAAGAGACAAATATCCCTCCTCTCCTGGAACTCTTTACTGGGGAGTTTTCTCCACGGCTCTCTGGAAGAGGGAGAGACAAGAATACAACATAAACAATTATATTAGAAAGAGGTAGGTGCTAAGGAGAAAAACAATCAAGTCAGGAAAGGAAATATGAAGTGCTGAGTGGACAGAAAAGGCCTAACTAAGAAGGAAGAAAGACCCAGAGGAAGAAAGGAAATGCAAGGCAAGCGTATATCTACAGGAAGAACAATCTAGGCAGAAGGAACTTCAAGAGCTAAAGCCCTGTGGCAGGACAATGAGAGCCCTACTGGAGGAACAGAAAAGAGGTTAATGTGGCTGGAAAGGAATGAGTAAGGAGGAAAGAATAAGAGATGAGGTCACAGAGAAACCAGGAAGCCAGCTGGTACATGGTCCCATAGGTTATTGTAAGGCCTTTGGCTTTCACTGTGAGGCATATGGGGAGCAATGAGAGAAGTGGGTCCTGGACCAAGCAGAACCTGCAGCACTATGGGTGCTGGGTTAGATCAGAGCCAGAGGCACCAAGCACAGACGTAGTAAATGCAGGTAGGGGGGCATCAGGTGAAAGGTGCTCAAGGAACTAAAAGAGTAATAGATTAGGGAGAGTGGAACTGAGGCAGAGAATAAAAACCCGCTTCAACAGAAGGAAAACATAAGAACTGAAAAGATTCTGCCTCCTTCCTGTATAAAATATTCCACATAATCCAGGGACCAATGGATAGGCACTAGAAAGTCATGTTATAATGGATTTAAGTTATCGATTTCTTATTTGCATTGGCAGTAACTTCAATTGCCATCATTGCAAACAGCCTTTTAGAAAAATTATAATAGCAATCAATTTTGATTGTCAAGGCTTATTAAAGACTTGCTTTTTTAAAGATTATTCCATTGCATGCACATTATTTATTGCCAAGCAACCATCTGTTTTGCATTTTAGTACTAACTTTTTTATCCTCATATGCATTTCACTGAGAAGTTTCTGGGGAGTGGTTTTGGAGGTAGTAGTGGTTGTTTTTATTTTGATGGAAGGACAGTATATGCTAGGAAAGCTGTAATTTATTTCCACTCCTCTTTTGGAGAGAAATTAATCAGTACAATTCTCTTAGTCTTCCAAGCAATTGTAAAGAAACACCATTTTTCTCTGAATTATTGCTTTTGACCTTTATTTGCTTATAATTTTCTCCCCACCTATCTCTTCATCGTCTGCAACCTGACTTCCAGTCTTGCTATTTCACCAAACCTGCTCTCATCAAAGCTTTCTTCTTTATTCAGATCCTTCTAGAACTCATCACTGCCTTTGACATATATGACCACACTCTCATACTCAGATGGCACTCAAAGCTCATATCCCATAACAATACTTGTAGTGAGAGGAAAAGGCACTCACTGAAAACGAAGACCGGGAGGGGGCAATATATATAAATGAACTCAGCCATAAGTGCCCAGAGGCAGAGCTGAGTCACAGCAGGGGCTCAGTTAGGAAGAATTTTTATCTAAACCCAAGAGACTTAGAAGTCATTTAGGCCAATGACCTCATTTTATAGATGAAATAATGAAGTACAGAAAATGTGTCAGTTAGGACGGCTTTGGTTGCAAGTAATAGAAAACAGCAACTCAATTTGGCTTCAACAATAAGGAACTATCCTCGCCTACATCATATAAGGTCCAGACACAGGATCCCATAGCTGCTTTTCCATGGCCCCTTGACCACGTCACCTGCATGTGTTAGCTCCATGTGAGCAAAAATGGCTGCAGTAGTTTTGGTACTTATATCAGAGCCCTGGGAGCTAGGGGAGGAGAGTAGGAGGAAGGGGAAAGTGTGTCTCTTTCTTGACTCTCCTCTCAGAAGCAAAAAGACCTGCTCAAGAAGCCCTAAGAAGACTTTCTCTCCTGCCACCTCCCCATTTCTGAAACAATCACTGGCAAGGGAAATGGGATTCCAAGACTGGTTTGATTCAAGCCTTGGACTAAGCTTGGGGTAGAATAAGTGCTTAAGGAGTCAAGGTTAAATAAATTGGCCATAATCAAAATAGTACTCGTAAATCTAAGAGACATCTTGATTCCTACACTTGTCTGACTACACTTCTCAGAATTCGCTTTTCCTGCTCATTAATGATGAATTCAATTCTTCTCTCTTTTTGCAGACTTCTCTGGGGAGCACACTTGTTCTCTTTGTAATTATCTTAGGCTTCTGTGGAAGCGGCATAGAGTAATGGTAAGCACTGACTTTAAAGCCAGACTCTCTGGGTTCAAATACAGACCCCACCACTTCTAGCTGTGTGTCACCTTAGGTGTGTTATCTAACCTCCTTCCTCATCTATAAAAGCGGATGAGAATAGAACCCACCTCAGAGAGATGTTGTGAGAATTAAATAAGTTACTGTATATAACGTGATCAGAACCATGCCTATTACACAATAAGCCCTCATAAGTGTGTGCTGTTATTATTAAGAGGCATCTACTGTTATTGCCTGTACAGCATCCCTTCCTTCTTCTTTTGATAAATGTTTCAGTTTTCCTTTAAAGAACTACCCCTCCCCAATGCTATATGATCTTGGCACAATTCTTAGTCAGTATGAACTGCCCCCAACCCCCACTGGGCAAAGGGTGGGCATAAGGCCCAAATTAGGCCAATCTTACCTTTTCCCCCGGAATCTGAATCTTAAACTGAATGACTCAGGAAGAAAACAGTTAAAATGCAGTCTCTCGGATGTCAAGGCCTTGAAGAGGCTTTTCCTGAGTTCGTGCCCCCTAGACCCCTGGAACTGGTTGTCCTTTCCAAAATCTGATTAACAGTTCTTCCTTGATCCTGTTAGCTTTCCAATCCCCTTTAACAAATTCCTTTTTCACTGAAATTAACCAAAATTGACTTCTATTGTTTGTGTAACCACTATGTTAAACAAATAGAACTCCCCAAATTAAACCAAGAAGTAACTTTATTTTTGTCTCTCATTGTCTCCTTAAACCTATTCATGAGCCTAGCTTTTCCCAGGCCCCTGCGTAGATGATATGGAAGTTAAGATAGGAACTCTGAAGTCAAATATTCTGGGCTCAAATTCTAGTTCCACCTCCTGCTAACTACGTTACTTAATGTCTCTTTGCCTCAGTTTCCCTAACTGTAAAATGGGGGAATAACAACGCCTACTTCGTTAGGTTGTTTAAAATTTAAATGACTTCCCAAAGGTAAAATGCCTGGAAATGTGTGGGGCACAGAATAAGTCCTGAAAAATGTTAATAGAGCTGATGGCAGTAGTGGTCCCATGAGGTTGTCTTTCTTCCTCACAACGCATCATATCACGCCCTGACCATTCTTGTTTCCATATCTATGCTCATGCTAGCCCTTTCTCCTTTCCGAAATCCTTCAAGACACAATTAATTCAAGCACCAAGACTTCCATAAGGCCCACATTGATCTACAAAGACCACACTGACCTGATACTTTATTTGTAAAATTCATAATCTGTAGAACACACGAGTCTCGACTTCATGTAATTTCCATTGTTTTTTAATTGTACTTGTGTGTAAATCATGACTACTCTAACAAGAAATTATTCCTTGAAGGCAAGAATGATGTTTTATATTCTTTTATGTCCCTCATATTACTTAGTTCAGAGTAAGAATCACAGTGAATCCTTAATAATAACTTTTTTTTTTTTTCCGAGGAAGACTGGCCCTGAGTTAACATCCGTGCCCATCTTCCTCTAGTTTATACGTGGGACGCCTACCACAGCATGGTTTGCCAAGCAGTACCATGTCCACACCCGGGATCCGAACTGACGAACCCTGGGCCGCCGAAGCAGAACGTGTGAACTTAACTGCTGTGCCACCAGGCCGGCCCTTTAATAATAACTTTTGAATAGACTTTGAACAGTTAAAAGCATTTCCAATCACAATTACTTCTGAGTTTGTATAGCTGCAAGCCCTCAGGCCTTTTTTTAGTATATATGTTGCCAAAGTGAGCACATGGCCTACATTTTTGTTGCGAGTATGAGCATATAAAAAAGACAGGGTACAGAACTTTCTGTTCCCTTCCCACACTGGCCCATACATAATGGCATTCAATAAATGTTATTAACTATCTATAAAAAAGCTGAAAACTTCAGGAGCTGAAAATTAATTCCAAATATGATAAGAAACTGTTACTGTTTAGATTTGAAACTATAATGCCAAAAGGTCCTGTTTTGTTTAAAAATAGAACACATGCAGATAAGGGAAAGAGATACTCTTAGACACTTTTCCCCTTCTAACACATGATTTTTCTCATAAGAATTGTTGATGAAGTATAAAGCAGAGAAGACAACTCTTGTATCCTTTTATTGTCGTGTCTCTGGAGAAATGTTCTTTTATTTTTGAAATAACATAAAGTACACCATCTTATTTCTCTGTTTTCTCCAAGCATGTGAAAACATATACATAGAAATAAGAACTTCTCCCATTGAGGACCAAGAGCATATCATGTACGTAGAAAAAGATGTGCTATTTCATAGCTTCGTGGGCTGTTATTTAACCATGGGAAAAAGTCCACTGGGAAAAAGAAACTGAGTAAGCCTGGACTCAATTCCATGTGAAACAGTCTGTGAAACAGAGATGCATAAATTGAGTCTCTTAACTGATCCAGAGAACAAGCTTAGATTATATCTAAATGACACCTCTATGAAATTTCATACTTTTTGACTTGTTGTTTAATGGATATGGTTATTTCAAAGCTAAGAAAAAAAATGCTTTTTTCTAAATGCTATCCACTGTGAATTTTTTCAACCAGACCAACTCTTTATTGTTTCCTTTCTACAGGAACACTCAATCTAGGAGAGAGAGAAAAGGGAGGAGGGAGAGGAATGAGTGGACAAAAACACTACATATCTTACCTGGATTGCGCGAGACAGCCTGGTGCTACCGCATTCCAATTCTCCTCCTCGGTGTGGAGTGCAGTGAGCTCTACCATGTTAACCATCACATCGTTGGTGTGGCCTGGAAGCTGAGGAAGCACTGAGAGCATCTTCTCTACCAAGTTGTCTCCATGATGTCCAACCGCTCCTGTTTAAGCAGACAAGAAAATATAAACTCACAAAACAGGAGGCAAAAGAAGCTGGACTAATGTTTTATAATGGCCCTTCTATCAAGAATAACATACATTTTTAGTTTCTTTTACACAAATCAATAACAGAAACCTAGTATTTTGCCCTGTGTATCACTAATCAAACTCACCAGTGCCTAGCCAGTGTGTGCCTTGTGTGTTGGACTTAATGCTCCTTGACGGCAGGCACTGTGTCTGCTCTGGTTACTACTAATTCCCAGCACCTGGCACAGTGGCTACATATGGTTGGATCAATAAATATTTAATGAATAAATAAATAAATTATCAGCATATAGTCAGTCATGGAAATAGTGTCATAGGATGATACTATCCTGAAATTTTAGAGCCAAATTTTATTTTACTGATGAAGATATAAGACCCAGAAGGGCTTAGAAACCTGACCAGGAATAGCAGATCTCCCCTCTGTTAGAACCTTATCTTCATAATGGCAACTGCCTATCTAGACCTCCCTTGACCCACCATATCTAGCAGGTCACTTGGCAGGTAGTAAGCTCTCACTAAATATTTGCTAGATGAAGGAAAGAATAAATGAATGAATGGTAACAGTTTGCAGTGATAGAAGCATTTATAGAATGCTTTCTGTGTACCAGGCACTGTTCTAGGCGCTTCACATGTACTAAATCTTTTAATAACAAATGAATTCATGATCTCAAATTGAAATTCAAGACCAACAACACAATTTAACACTTTTTCCATGAAATCAAGTTACCTTTCCAAAAGCCATCATTGCTTGGAAGACCTCATTCCAACAACGAGCGGGGACTTGGCACATCTACTTGTTTTGATCCCACTCATGTCAAATCAATTAACATTTTGCTTCCTAATGTCTCCCTATTTCTACCTCTCGTTGTTTTTTGCCATGTCAAATTAATTGGACAGAAGAACTGGGTAGAAAAGACCAAACCAGGAATCCAAGGAATCATCATCATCACTATCATCACCTTCATCACAATAGCTAATATTTATTGAGAGCTTATGATGTCCCAGGTATTAAGTTCCATACTGCCCATTTATTATCCACTTAATTCTTACAACAGCTCTAATAGGTAGGAATCATTACGGTCACTTATGGAGTAGAAGATTCAGTTAGGTAAGTTGCTCAAGATTACATAACTTATAAATTATAGAGCAAGAATTCAAACTTGGGGAAGACAAGTCCAAAAACCACACTGTTTATTAAAAAAAAAATCAGGCCCATAAAAGTGACTTAAGACAGAGCCAGCATGAGTGCTTCTAAGGTGACTTCTGATGTTAAAGAAAAGAATTTTTGTTCTACCAGTAGAATATTCATTTATTAGGCCTAGAGAGAACCACATCTTATTTATGTTGTCTATGGTTTATGATTCTCTTTCCAGCACTCAGATTACGAGCTGCTCCTTCAATACTTGCTGAATGAATGCCTAGTGACTATAAGTGGCCCTCACATCCAGGGGGGGTCACAAGTCTCTAAGTGAATTATACCTTTAAATTAAGCCCCAGGGGCCGGTCTGGTGGTGCAGCGGTTAAGTTCGCACGTTTGGCTTCTCGGTGGCCTGGGGTTTGCCGGTTCGGATCCCGGGTGCGGACATGGCACCGCTTGGCACACCATGCTGTGGTAGGCGTCCCACATATAAAGTAGAGGAAGACGGGCATGATGTTAACTCAGGGCCAGGCTTCCCCAGCAAAAAGAGGAGGACTGGCAGTAGTTAGCTCAGGGCTAATCTTCCTCAAAAAAAGTTTTTAGTAAGTAAGGAGGGAACTAGTGGAGAGAGAGAAATTCATGATGCCATGAGGTAATCCTAGTATCTCCATTTGGGGCTCCCATCACTACAATCTCCACCCATCACTACAATCACTCTTCTTTGAACTTGGTGCCCAAATTCTGAGCCCTGCACCAGGTTATTCTTATTTTCGACTGCCATTCACAGACACGTGGCACAAACCAGAAATGTGGTCCGTGGGTGCTCCCTTCCTTTCCTAACTTCTTTAGCCCCTACAATATGGCTGCTGCTCATTCCTCCCTATGCCACACTCAGGGGTCTTGGGCAAGTCTCAGTTCATTAAACCCTCTGCAAATTGAAACGGTTGGCTAATCCAGTCCTCTTGAAAATCTCTGAATATGAGAAGTCAAGATATAACATACTTATTTTTTCTTAAAGTTTAATAACTAATTAAACTATTTTTACAGAACCAAAGTACCATGTATATGCCTAAAATATTATATACTAACCTCCTAAATGTTCAAAAGGAGAGGAATAGTTTTTTTCTTAATTATGGTAAATTTATTGAAGCAATTTTCAAATTGTGATTTTTGTTTTTTTCTATTTATTTACAGATTCTAAACTTTCTATGGTGAACATATATTCCTGCATAATAAGAATAAAAAATATATTATAAACACACACACACACATACAAATATCCCCAAATTTTTTTTCTTTTTATAAAGATTTTATTTTTTTCCCTTTCCTCCCCAAAGCCCCCCGGTACATAGTTGTATATTCTTAGTTGTGGGTCCTTCTAGTTGTGGCATCGTTGTGGGTCCTTTTAGTTGTGGCATGTGGGACGCTGCCTCAGCGTGGTTTGATGAGCAGTGCCATGTCCACAGCCAGGATTCGAACCAACGAAACACTGGGCTGCCTGCAGCGGAGCTGCGAACTTAACCACTCAGCCACGGGGCCAGCCCCCAAATATCCAGAAATTTTAACAAGGGTTATCTTTGGATGGTAGGCTTTTCGTTGATATAAATTCTACCTAAACTTCATTTTTTCCCAGTGTTTTCTACAGGGAGCACACGGAACTTACCTAATTAGAAAAATAATTTACATCCAATCAGAAAATATTTAAAATATTACATCAGAGAATTAACAAAAGGCCAAATTTACATGACCAGGATTACTCAGCTTCTTAGATTTAGTCAAAAGGATGTGTATGTCTAACATGCTTGATAACGAAGGATAAAGCACGGGCTTTCAACCAATTGTCCTGCTCTTCTGTGAATACAGTTTCTCACATGCCTGGCTTTAGAGGGTTCAATATTCATCTTTAAAATTTAATTAGTGCTATTTACATGACTCAAACACAGACTAAGCATTTGGGGCCTCTCAGTGTCACAATAACGTCAGATTCTTCTTTTATAAAATGAATAAAATACCAAGATTTGTATCACACAAATTTTCAGAGAGCTTAATTTTTCCTTTATTACAGAAATTTAAAAATATTATTTAAGAAGCTCAGGAGTGGAAGTCAACCAGAACCCAGTTACTTCTTCCCTGTCCAACTGTTAATGTGGCCAACAGCAATGTGGTCTAGTCTGGCCAGAGAATGGTTTATTTCCCAGTGCCATCTTTTCCAAGTGGGGTGTCAGAAAAAGAAATTGGAGACGTGGGCTCTAGTGGTCCTAACCTCTGCCAGTTCCTTGTGTAACCTGAGGCAGCTTCCATAAATGTGGTGCTATTTTACTAAGCTAAAAACTTAGAGCTGGTCCAACTGACACCTAAATATCTTTGAACCTCAGGATTTGAGATCTTAAGTTAAGCCACTTGCTTCAAGGGCTAAACTTTTTTAGTTAACAGCACCAGAAAAATACCATTCCTGTATGATCCTGTAGATTAGATGTGATGTACATGCCAGTATCATCATCATAAGGCAAGAAACATCTATACTTGCGTCTACTAAATGAAATAGAGTGAGAAGCAAGAATTGAGGCACCTTCACAAGAGCTCAGTCACACTGGAGTAGGGCTCAAAAGATAAAAATGCAGCAGCAGCCTTCTCTACATTTCACAAACAGGCTATTTTTGGGCCGTGCGTATTGTCCCTTTGTGTTGAGATAGGGCTACCGGACTCAGAATTCACATATGCAAAAACTCACGTCCTTTCTGATTCGCCATCATTCATTCCCAAGAATCTGTGACTGCCTTTCGTTATTTTGAAATGTTCCAGTATTTGATCACATTTCTGTCTTATAAGAACGGAATATTTCTTTATTACTCCTGATGCTTCCTTCCATGTAGAGGGACAAGAGTTAGCATAACACTCGTGAACGTGCTTTACCTCCTTCCATCAATTGCTTTTCCCCGGGCTGTCAGGTTCTACTCTACTCTTCCTAGGATAGGTTCTGCCCTCCAGAAAAGGGAAAAAGACTTGCTCTGGTCCAAGCCTGCTGCTGAGTGGGTAAACTTTTGAACTCTGAGATTTGGTTTAGGAAGCTCACTTGTCCATACATATAAGCCACATTCTTTAATGCTCATAATGTTTATTATTTATCCATAATAAAACTAGTATTTTGGCCTCCGCCTACCAACTCTTTATCTCATATTCAATTGATTCAGATTGTGGATGAGGAAAGGACTGTTAGTTATTAGATCCTCTCTAATACTACCATTTCTAACACTACCTATGGTTGCCTCACATCAGTCAAATCTAGCATAAAGGAGATGTATTACAGTGGATACTGCATACCAGTCAAAAGCCTACTTAAGTTTGCCATATACCAGGTAGGACTTTGGGTTATGGGGATAGGAGAATTACAACACAGCACATACACAAGTTTATTCAATAAGCAAATTTCCCCACACAGTAATTTTAGATAAGAGAATCACGTGATATTCATTATATTGCCCCTAACTTGAATCTTCTCCTACATTCCATATATCAGGGAATGGATTCTGAAATTGCCCAAGCTAGAAAACTTGGCATGTCTTCAAATCTTTCCCGTAATACTCTACCATTCTATCAGTCACCACTCTATTAATTCTCTCAATTAAATATCAACTACTCTTCTCTTCATCCTTCCTATTATTGACTCAATATAAATTCACACAATTTCTCACCTAGATATTATAACAACCCCCTGATCAATCCTCTAGGCTCCAATATGTCTTGCCTTTATCTCAGGGAGCCCATGGCTCCTAGGCTGGGCTCCTCCATGGATGGATGGGAGGGTTAAATTTGATAAGA